ATTATAAAGATGATTTTTTAAAAATATAATTTTGTAAAATTATATACTGTGAAATATCAATATATTTAATAGTGTTTGATTTAATTAAATATTTAATAAATTATTAATACAAGAACCGTGATAAAATAGAGATTTTTATGTCATTTGCAAGTTTTGTCAATTTAAGATAGGGATGAGGGGACACGAGCATGCAATGGTCTCCAAATTTGTGGTTGTCTTTATGTGTTATTTTATTTAGTTAGTTAATGGTTATGACTGAAAAAAAATAATAATCAAAACTTTACATTTCACTTTCATTGTTTTACGTATAGTCCACGTTATATAATTTTTTCCATCAGACAATTTCTATTTATATAAAATAAAAGGAAAATATTAAAGGTATAATAAATGATTATTTCAAGTGATATGTCTAATTTTTCTCACTAAGACCATGATTTCGAGTATTTTTATGTAAAATTTTACTGCTAAAAAAGTCAATCTTATATTACAAATATTTTTTACTTAAATAAAATTATATTTTACTGAATAATGTTTAACCAAAAAGTAAAAGATAGAAAAAGGAAACTTAATAAATCTCTTCATTTTATGTGTTTAGCGCTCTTAAACTAAATTTTTTAACTCTCTTGCTAAATACGAGATTCCATTATTATAATATTACTTACTTTGTACTGTCATTGTAATGTTTAACTGATATTCTATATTATCTCAACGTACTCATATTTAAATTATTACTTCATCAGCAATTTTTTTTAGACACTTGAAATGTTGATTTTTTTCCTCTTAGAAATTATGTTTGATTTGCTATATTTCTGAAAATATTATAAATATATTTGATTTTCTTAAAAAAAATTTGACAATATTTTTACGAGTATAATTAGTTTATTTTTCCATTTTCATTGTAATTCTTCTCATAAAATTATTTTATTAAAAAATACAGGTAGAAAACCTTCTTTAAAAATATTAACTTTAAAAATATTCATACCAATATAAAATTTTTAATAATTTCGACTTAAATTTCTTTAAAAATTTATCAAATTTTGTTACTCACTTAATTTGAATGTCACGTATATTTTCTTTAAATGATTTTTTTATCTGAAATTTTAATATATTTTTTAGATTTTTAAATTATATGCATGTTTTCTTAATATCAATTTTAATAATGATAAAAAAATATAATTGATAAAAATGTTAAATAAAATAAAATTTTATAATATTTAGCAATACATTGATATAATAACAATCTATATTTCCTAAATGTTCCTCCAAGCGACGTCTCGTATAAGCTATCACGATCAACATCGTTTCCAAATAAATTAGAATTGATAAATATTTATTAGTTTAAGTAGTGAAGAAAATGGAAAGATGAAAAATATAATAAATTATATATCATTTGGATGAAGCGAAAATACCATGTAATTATTTATTTATTTAAATGAATGAAATAAAATAATTTTTCCTCTCTCCTTGATTTGTGAGTTTTCTTATCAAGTGAAGCATGAAAACTATTTTATAGATCTCATCTTACTACATTTAATTTAATATAAATTAAGAAAAAAATCTTCTTATCATGTTTTTTATTTTCTTATCTTTTATTATTTTCCTGTAAAACAAATTATGCGTAAAACTTGTGTCTATTTTCTATTTTTTTCCCTCCAATCATCTAAACACGTCTTAAATGTTTAAAGTCAAATTGAATTAGTTGAATTTAAAGTAACTTTTAAATATAAAAAGTTTTAGATACAAAAATGAAAAATTAAAGAAAAAGAAACCATACCTATATTACATTATACATAGGTTAGTAGGTGTCCCACTGTCCCAAGATGTAAAATAGGTAAGGACGTGCAATAATTGCATTATAAATAGTTAGATAGAAGTTTAGGGTTGAAATTTTGATTTGATGTAACATTCAACGAAATCGATATTTATTGAAATGAAAAATCATTGTTTTATAAATAAACAATCCGTTAATAATAAAGAAGAAAATGACTTTCTAGAGCGTGTCTTTTTTTATTTCAGTTTATATGTTTTTATTTGTAATTATGAATGTATTATTATAATTGTTTTTTAAAGTTGGCAAAGAAAAATATAAAACTAACAGCATATTATTTTTATTATTTTCTTTGTAAAATAACACAAACTAAATTCCCCGATATCATTCAAAATGCGAAAAAAAAAAAAATTCCACCCGTGAGACTATCAAATTTTGCGTGCAACAATCTTTTCAAGAGAAATGATTATCAAAAAGAAAAATTCATAAACAATTTTTTATTTAAGAAATAACAAGTGGGGGTTAAATTGAAGACAAAATGTTGCTAGTACCAGTGTGGGGTACTCGTATATATTTTCCAATTATTTTAATAATCTTCTTAATTATTAATGAAAAATACTAATATGTTTTATATTTTTAATTATTAAAGCATCCATTTCTATATAAATTTTTAATTATCAAATTATTTAAAAAATTTAGAAAAACATGCATATATATATATATATATATATATATGTATAATGACTCAAATAAAAATATTTGATTATTAAAGAAGAATAATAAAAATAAATTTTATATTTTATTTAAACAATTGAAATTTAAAAAAATCACATTATGTGATTGACATGAAATTTTTAATTCTTTTTGCTATTTGAAATTTTTAATGTTAATAATTTACGTATAATTATTTAGTAGAAATATAATATTATCAAATATTTATAATAAAAAATAGTGTGTTTTATGGAGAGAGAGAGAGAGAGAGAGAGAGAGAGAGAGATGCCTTTGACATTACAGGTTGATTCGCAAACAGGCATATCCTACAAGGCGTCCTTGGTTTTATGCGTATCAAATTATTGAGCTAAAGCACGCAGAGTGATTTAATAGAATTACATATTAATATATTTATTTTAATTTCTCATTTATTGTTACTACTGTTAATCAACTACTCACATACTGCATTTTTATTTCATTTCCAGTTCCTTTTTTTTAATAATTAATATTTTTCTTTGCACGTAAGTATCATCAAATTAAAATAAAATGCTAAATAAATAATTCAAAATATTATATAATTATTTTAATTTTTAATAAATTTATAAAATTTAAAAATAATATCATATAAAAAAAGAACCAACTTTTAAAAGTGTTATTGTTTAAAAAATTTCTTATTTAAAAATGCATACTCATAAATTATATACCGTGATTAGTGAGATTTTTTTTTTTTTTTGAAAAGGCAGCATATTATGCGGATACAGAGACATTGGAGCTATGTTTGTTAAAAATCTGCTAAGTTAATTAAAGATTACTAAAATCATTTTTTAGTTAAAAGTTAAACATGCATTTTAAACTAATTTATTAAATTAAACATGATTTATCAAATCAACTGTTAAATTAGTTAATAAATAATGCTAATTTTTCTATTTTATTAATTAAATTATAAGTTAATTGAAATAATTTAGGGACATTCTCTACGCTTAAACAAATTCTGTATCACCAAAGTCATGTTTTGAAAGGCACATTTTGGTCATAAATAATAGACTCATAATATATATATATATATAATTTTACCCATCTAACTTAAATCCTATAATATACTTCTCTCCTTATTTTATTTTCGCAGATTGTTAGAAATATGTTTGAAATTTAAGGACGAAATATTAGCCCAAACACAGGAGTCGCACTGATTGCTTTACATGTTTTAGACAAAATTCTTTTGAATAAATAATTATTTTAGTTGTTTAAATTATAAACGTCAATTGCTTTAGTCTATAATTTTATAAAATATTATTTTAATTCTTTATTTTAAATAAATTTTTTACTTTATTTTATTTTTATCAAAAATTAATAAAATAAATGTGGCTTAGTAAAGTTAGAAGTTTAAATATAATTTTTATAAAAAGTTTAAAATTAAAGTAATCTATGTTTTACAATTTGAAAGATTAGAATGTGTATTTATTCAACTTTGCTTATTCCACTGTACAGTAGTTTGTGACACCTTCCCGGTATTCTGTGCAAAACTAAATGATGATGAGCTAAGCTTAATTTAAACTAAGAAAAGCAGGTTCGTTCAATGAACGGATTTTTGAATCTATAGAAAGCACTTCTGTCAAAAAGTTCAAATTCTTGGCGACATTGAGCTTATGTGAATAATTTATACCCAAGAATATTTCTTGGTCAATTTCTTCAATGACAAGCTGTGAAAATTGTGCCGTCACTGCAAAATCGTCCCAAGGTTGAGAAATGAAGTGCAATTTTGGTAAAATATCTTCTTATGATTGCAGCAAGAAGACAAGGGAGATGCTAGAGTGGTGTAGACTAGATGGGGAATGAAGAGATAACCGAAGTCCAATTGCTGGACGTACAAGCAGTTTAGAGATTTTACAGACTCCACTTTTTTGTTATGCACCATTATCTACCATTCTTTCTAATTTTTCAAGGAGCAGCATGATGAGCTTGAAAACACCACACATAGGGTACCACTCACTACTCATCAGTTTCATAAGTGAATTGCAAGTGGCTATACTTGAAAATGTGAAGACAAGTAGCATTCTTCACAATCTTTAGAGGTCGTTATTAACATATTAGAACATATTTTGTAAGTGTCATTCCATCACAAGATGTGACTACACTAATGCTTACTTTTCATTTGGGTCTCACAGAAAAAATCTCACTTACACGAAAGAGATATCCAAAAAAGAGTGGGGGAAAAAGCATTATGTCGAAAATGCACTCATAACAAAGAAGATACATTGTCTTAGTCAAATTACAGCCTTTCCATCTTTTGATAAATCTGAAACAGGGGAACTTTAATATCATCTCCCGCATTTTCTATTAAAATATGCTATTTTAAAAGGATTCATATTAAATACCCTTACACTTGGTACTAATTTCTACCTATGACACTGTTTACTCACTAAGAATCAGTATAATATAAGAATCTTCAATATATTTTTTAACGGTAACCATCCCACAATAAAAAGAACTTGAGATGCATGCCCTTCTCTTGTCTACACTGTCATATAGCATCCATGTTCCATAAAGTATCACCCATGTTGTCTAACAACCAGCCACTCCCTGCAGTCTGAAAATCAAACTGTGGAAAATCGTAAGTTTCCATTGCTGACAAGGGATCCAGGTTTAGGCCTTCCATGCCATAGTTATTGATATCAACATAGCCACAGTCCTGAATTGGATAGCTATTATAAACATTGTTCTCAAACACATTGAGAGGACTTTTGGGGTGTTCTGACATTTCAAGTTGCTGTGAGAATTGGAATGAATCCGGGGATGGATTGCTGGGGTTGGACATAGTACTAAAATGATTTGCAGCATCTATAAGTTCCCTTTGTGGAGGAGATGATGATGAAGATATAGAAGGAATATTGAAGCTGGTTGACATCGAACTCATCGAAGCTTCTGCTGAATTCCCAAAATTCATCATATCTGTCATGGAAGAGTGAGAGCTTGGAGAAGTGTTCTGTTCCATCTTTTGAAGCAATCTTGGCATCCAAAAACACTTGACAGCATCAATGAACCTCTTGCTACCAGACTCAATGTTAAGTTGACGTGCCTGTTTCTGTACCCTTGTCCTCCAATAGTTCTTAATCTCATTGTCTGTTCTTCCTGGCAGATGCTGAGCAATTTTTGACCACCTATCCCCAAATGAACAACAACGAAACTATGTTAAAACTCATTGTGGTTCAACAAGCCTAATTTTGAGTGCATATATAATATATTCATTTTCTGGACACATCATTAGTTAATTACCTGTTACCCCACTTGGAATGGAGTTCAAGGATCAACAGTTGCTCTTGGGGAGTAAGGTTCCCTCTCTTAATGTCTGGTTTCAAATAATTCAGCCATCTGAGTCTGCAGCTTTTTCCAGTCCTCTTCAATCCTGAAATGTTGGAACTAATATTAAACACCTAAAAGTAAAACAGTGAGAATGATCTTATTCCTTTAAGAGTACATAGAATATGTACCTGCACTTTTGGCTAACATATTCCAACGACCTTCACCATGACGAGCAATATAGTGTATGAGTAAGCTATCTTCTTCAAGAGTCCAAGGGCCTCGTCTCAATTCACTCTCTTCTTCAATAGAACTCAACTCTCTCTTTGTAATTGTGGACATGGTTGGTGTTTTTGTGGGGTTCTTCAAGACAAAAAGAAAAATGATTTACAAGCTATATGTGCACTTGCTAGGTGGGTTTAAGGGCAAAGAAAGTGATGGTGGATTTAAATATGATATGGATCAAAACAAAGTTTAAGGTAGCACCAGTGGCAAGCAATTAAGAAATGAGTTCCAATGAGTGTATCTACATGCCCATGGGCCTTCATATATATATACTCCCCGCGGAATTTTGTTAAATGGGTTTGGTAGGCTAGGGAACAAGAGGCTATACGTTAGCTCTTGGAATAACCAAAGTGTGATTACATTATGATGCCCTTTTCAAAATAGGTCCCACCTATATTATTCCTTGGTTATGCAAAACAATACACCCTGAACATAGATACTTGCAAGTAGCTCCCTAGGCTATTGCACCATTATCTCCCACTAAACAAACATCAATGAATCTAAAGCGTTAAAGAAAGCGGGAATATATTGAGGTTATGCTGTTAACTAAGGAAGGTAACCGACTAACGAGCTGTGCATATCAAGAATTTTCCTCTACCTTGCTTATTTGGAGAAGATTTTTGAGATTTGACTATGTAAATATTGATGGTGCAAATATTATTTGCGGAACAATTTTATTATTGACGCGGTTTCAATCCACTTTTTGTTATTAGAATCGATTCTGGGCTTTTAGAACCCAAGAGAAACATACTAAAGATTCTTTCTGAAGTATACAAACTCTGTGTTAATGACTAGAGAAAATCTCCATAGACTAATTACTGTCAATTATGTGCTTTAAACTTTTAGAGAGAATCCAGTATCTTTCTCTCATGATATTTGAACGTGAAGCTAATGTTTCTAGAAAAACAAATTTATCCAGAAAGGGAATTTAACCTACATGTCCAATGGTATGCTTTTATTTCATACTAGGTTAATACTGCATTCAGAAGTAGAAGAAACAAAGCTTCACCTACAGTTGGGTTACTTAAACATGATCAGCCTTCAATTTCTGACTATATGATCAAGAAGACTTTGTTTAAGATAGTAAAACCGACTTCAATAATCTCTACGACTGGAAAAGGATAGTTCTCCATTTAGAGATGTCTTTGGTTCACACACAGAAAAAATTCACATCATATTTTGTCTCAATTAGATTCACGCCTCTAAATCTATACACACTCGCGTTACTATTATTTTTTTTTCCAAATATCCAAGAATAATTGGACGATTATTTTTCTGATTATGTGAGAAATCTCTCTCAAACGTTGTCCTTTGCATCTTTGTTTGTGCAAGTAAGCGGTCTTCATCAATTGTTTTTGTGCAACAACAATCACGGTTGTTACCGCGCTCGTTTTTCCTGCAGAAGAAGACTCTTTAGAAACGTAATCTGAGTTCTATTCACTAAGCATAAGTACTTGCTGATTACGTAATTAAGTTTGTGTTGACCGAATGATAACTGTGGAAGTGTATGAAGTTAAAACTTGAAATAAATCAATGGACCCGGTGTACTGTTTTTTAAGTATTTCCATATAAGTAACGTCTTTGACTGAGCAAAACTTAGTGAAAACAACAAACAGTGTAGAAATACAATGTAAGAGCATGTGGAACGGCGGTGAAGAAGCATGTCAGCAATGAAATGTTGGTGAGTAGGGACACTCATTTGTCTGAGCCAGCTGTTTCATTTCTCTCCTTTTTTCCCATCAAAGCCAAAGGTCAAAGCGCAGACAGAATCCCGCGTACTCCTAGAACACAAAACTTAAAAAAACACTTATTACAAGTGTTAATTTTTTTTAATTAAAATTCAACTTTTGTTTCAATAATTTGTAATGGAAATCAAATTAAAGGTTAAGTAGCAATTGAGTTAAACCTTCTTTAGGGTGATAGTTTAAAGGTTTAAACCGCTGACATTGCAGGTAAAGTTTATCCAAAATCACAGTTCCCCTCGTGATCATGACTATGAATAACAAATGAATACAAGTATATATTGATTTGTATGTATTATATGAATAATATCAGTTTGTTTTTATACTTGTAAGCATCTTGTATATTATATGAATAATTTAAATTTTAAATAAAATTAACATATTGTTAAATAATGATAAAATAATTTATTTTAACAAAAATAAAGTATGATGGAAAATGTTTTTATTAATAGTTTATATATATATATATATATATATAGAGAGAGAGAGAGAGAGAGAGAGAGAGAGAGAGTAAAGAATACCAAATCACAATAAAGACATGTGACTAATAAAACAATGAGTGGGTATTAGATGTTGGTCACTCTCAATTACCAAGACTATAATATAATAAAGGAGGACATGGATAGCAGATAATATACCATTTGTAGTCTCTAACTCGAGCTTTTGTTAAATGATGCTGAAATCGTATCTTTTTAAAGAAAACATAATAAAAATAAAATATCTTTTAATAATGATTTTTCTATTTTATCAAAAATTTAAAATTTTAAAAATTTATTAAAATCAAAACGTGTCATATCTACTATTAATTTGATATAATTTAAATTTTAAATTTTAAACAAAATAAATTTATGCAACTGTATATATTTAAGAGGAATAAAAATGAAAAAAAGAGAGAGACAATTAATATAAAAAAATTATATGACTCGTTGGAAAAAAAAATCTAATTTTTTCAATCATATAAAACATTCAATAAAACTCTTTTTTACATACCCAAAACTTAAACATCTCAGTATATATTTTAGAGTTGTTAGATTTTGGAAAGAGCATATGCTTTAATTTTTATGATAAAACGAAAAGCGCGAGAAAGAGTATCGTTAGTCCACACTCCACCACATATAACAGGGACTATCAATGATTGAAGGAGAAATGATATCGTACTGAAGATGAAAATGTCACTTCACAGAAAGAATGGAGGAGGTTGCTATAAAGGTTTCCTCAAAGTTTTGTCAAGGTGGAGAGTGGAGAGTGGATATAGATGCTTTTATCACTTGCCTTTTTTGTTGTAAAAGCTGAGAGATTGCTAATTAATGTGACATGTGATGGATTAATCACATTAACAAAATATTAGTCATATTTTCAATTTCCATTAATTATGGCTGGCATGACATAGTAACATGCTGGGAGAGCATGCGTGTTAGTTTGCGAGATATGGATCGCGAATGTCGATCTCGTCCTTTTGTGGCATCTTCTCTCTCGTTTATAACATCTTTTTATAACCTAAAACAAAAACCGGCCACTTGCTTCATGCAGGATCATAATTATTAGGACGTGACTACATGCAGAGATAAAGGATAAAATAATAGATAGTGTGACATGATTAAGAAGAGATTAAAATATTAAATAAGCATTTAAAAATTAAAATATTGTTACATTAAACTCTTTTTTTCAACAGAATTAGAAGTGCGCGTAAATAAATTTCAACTACTAAGTAGTTGTATTAAAAATGTGTTATATTTAATCAACTGAAATACAAAGGTCTGCTAGTCTGTCACCCACTTATGAAGAAGGAGAACAACAAAGATGGCTGCGACAAGGCTTTCTTTTCTCGTTTAGAATTTATTTGGGTTGAAAATTTCCAGTTTCCGTTTTATCTTTTTATAGAGAATGATGTAAAAAAAAATGTCCTTTTCTTAATATTAGTATTTTTGTGTCTTTAAGAATAAAACAAAAAAATAATTGCGTTAGGAGGTACGTTGCCTATTTTCACACACACTCGTATTCATATCAAATTCTAATTATGTTTAAGAAACATACTTTTTTTAAGAGGTTTTGCTGACTGTTCCAATATTTTTAAAAAATAATGAATAGTATTTTTAATTAAAAGAATTATAAAATTGTATGAAAAATCATCGTGCGAGGTGTGTCAGTAAAAATTTTAAAAAAATTCTTAAATTCTGTCTTAAATGAACTTAATATTTTTTAATACATTAAACTTTTCTATAATGTCTTAAAAAGAGGAAAAACTCAAATGAAATGTAAAAATTGGAGAACATTCATAATTTGTACAATAAAATTCAATATTCAAGATTAACATGGTTATCAAAGCAAAACTATAACATTAATTGAAAAAAAAATAACATAATACTTATAAGAAAACTTATACTTATATTTAAATTCATATTTTTACATGAATAATAAATGTAGTGTCTAATTATTTCAAAGAAAAAATATAAATTATTATTATGAGATTCGAGTCATGTACGCTTTAATTCTTGAACTTAAACAAAAAAAGTGTATGTTAACTCATAAAATTTTCAATATGTGTACAATAACATTTTTTGTTAATTTATTTAAAGAGTCTTGCTTAATATAGAGTGTCAATTTTAATTTTTTTAATTTGTATAGTTATATATATATATATATATAATTTATTTATTTATCTGCTATACATCTTAACAAAGAATTTTTTTTTTATTCACTTTTTCTTATCTATTCAAACACCATGTCTTTTCTATTCTATTTTTGTTATCTCTTTTATTTTATTTTATTCTTTACTGAATAAAGTATAAAAAATAAACCATACGAGATAAAGAAAATTCTGCTTAACATTTTTAGGGATATTTTTTTCTTAACTTTAAAATAAATAAATAAAAATAATGGATCAGGCAAACTCAAAAAACTGCTGTGAAATAACATGATTGGGCTTTCTTTTCACAAAACTAGTGACTCGGCTTGTTCTTACGTGCATGTGAGGTTTTTAAAAACTGAGCAACTTGGTCTCTTGTAAACCCAAAAAAAAGGAACTTGGTCTCTTTACCAAAAAATAACCAATACGCAGAAGAGTAAAAAAGAAGTCATAATAAAGAGGCCTAACAAAAAAAAAAAAAACAGAGAGAGAGAGAGAGAGAGAGAGAGAGAGAGGCAAAGATAGCATGTGAACGCATTCTCACTTCTTCGTCGAAGACCGCCATAAGACACCGTCGAGTCGCCTTTGCGCGGTGAACCTTCTTCTTCAACTGCTTTTCTAAGTAAGGATTCTTTCATTACGCAGCTTCTTTCTTCAATTTCATTCATTATTATCGATAATCTTCTTTTCTTAATTAAGGACAAATTGGAAATGGCTACATCTGTTGTGAACAAGGACAACTTCAATGCTCACTGGAAGCGAAAAGAATTATATATTCTTGTGACTTATGCATTTGCTTTCTATGTTATCATCGTTACCCGTTCCCTTCAACTCTCTCGTGGTATATTTCTTGTTTCAGATAATTTTCACCCTATAATCTTGTTTCTGTAATTTTTTAACATTGATTACTTTGGTTTGTTTATTTATTTTTATTTTCATAGATCATTATAAACAGCTATTTGGCTTACGCCCTGGATGGCTCATACCTCATCACCTTAATGTAAGATCGTGTTCTTTCTGTCATTATGGTCAATTTGTCTGATAAGTGTTTCAGTTGTTTGGTTTGGTTGTTTGATGATCAAATGCACATCCTGTTCTTTTGTGAAAAGGATGTTTCAGATGCTCAGTGGAGGAATTTTCGAGGAAATATACCTGTTCTTACTCTTGTCTTTGGAATCTTTACTCTGGTCGCAAGCTTGATGAGAACTTTATTTGGTTTAAGAGTGAAGGGAATGTCCATTGTCTGGCTTTTTTCTTCTTTGTCCTACTTATCATATCTTCATGGAGCATGGTATGGAATGCATGGTTTATTTTGATGTTGTTCTTTATTTCACTATTCGCATTCTTTATCTTCTTTGATCTGACTTGGAGTTTGTTTCATTTGCAGCATTGTGTTTATCCTATCAATAGCTACTGTTAATTTCCTTCTTGTAAAGGTGTGTAAATTGTAATAGTACAATGAATAAGAGTTAGTTGCAAACTTTCTAGTTAGGATGTATAATATTGTCGATTTTAATTGTTTACTTAAAATTGTCATGTCATAGCAATTCTAGTTTTTTCCATTAAAACTTATTTCGCCCAGGCTGATTTATTTTAAGCTACATGTCATATATTGAAATGTAATGAAAAAGAAAAGACGTCTATGTTGGACTTCTTGAAATATTCATAGGAATGGTATGCCTCCTTTTGAAAATATTGGGATTTTATTTTGTCGATTGATAACCTTTTGAACTATTTTGTGTTTTTTTAATGTTGTATTGTGTGTTTCAAGGACACTGGAATTTTTTACTTAAAAGGGTTCTTTAATGAGAATGGTGTGACCATGGATCATTTAAATAAATACTTTTTACTGGACCGAAACATTGTAGTACACTTCATTATATAGGAAGCTTGTAGCAAGCATTCTTGACAGCCTCCAGAATTTTATGTAGTGGAGAATTGATATTCATTATGGAAGAGATGCATATGGGGATCTTTTTTATTTTATTTTTTTATTTGGGGTGTGGGCAGTTATTATAGAAGGTTCTAATTTTTGTAGATTGGTTTGGCCTTGATATTCCAACAGATTTAGTTTTTTAGGAACAAGAATGGCCAACAAGAAAATATTGCTTAAAATTTTGGAGGCCAAATAAATGCATGTATGACTTGTGATGCTTTAACCATTTTTTCATTTCATGTTAAAGTATCCATAACTATAATCCATTTGTTCCTAAAGCATTTAATTACCATATTTATAACTTTTCCCACTATTATCATGTAAGACTAATTATGTTTCGGCAGTTATTTGCACAGAAAAAGTACTTTCCACTTGTAGTTTGGAGTTACAACATATTGTTTCTTCTCTGTAATCGAATTTATGAAGGATATTCATTCTCTATATTTGGGTAAGATGCATCAGATTTGTTGTACTGATACATTGTTTGGCTGGAGTAATTCTATTCTGACGTTTGTATTTACATTGCAGGAAACAGTGGGCATTTCTGGACAATTACAGGGGCAGCTTTAGGTGGCACATATGTTTTAACTTTGGTATTTTTTTCATTATTTAATTGAGTTCCTATGGTATCTAAAGTCAGAGTAGTTCATTTATATGTGATTCTTGTATCTTTGCCTATTCTTTTTTCCCAGCTTCTTGTTACTGTTCGTTCTCATCCATCACCAGCATTCATATGAAATTATGCTAACTCAATCATTCCTCACTTGGTAACTATTGTCATGATATGATGATTTATTACTTAAAACACTCCGGCCAGAATATTAAAATTTCGCTATCTAAACATCTAAAATTATATTTTTATTTTGCATTATACAAATTATATGTGCATGTCTTTGTATTCCCATTTTTGCATTATGTAATTTGACAATAACAAGCACTTAGTATATGTTTCTTTGTATTTAACCATAGTTGTTTGTGGCAGTTGTTTTGCGCATGATAAGCTTTGGATTTGATTATCACTGGACAAATCAAGATTCTCATTTTGATCAGGAGGTATTACTGTCTTTCTGAAAATGGTACATGTTTGTTTTGAATATAAGTTTCTACTGTACAGTTTCTCTCTTAATTTGATAAGGTTGCAGTGACAATGACTATATATTAGAATAAGTTATTCTTGATGCTACCTCAAAGCCATAAATCTTTTTAGCATCATGTAGAACATAAATATTATTGGATTAGTATTTAAGTAGCTTTGTCTTGAATGCTTCACTTACCAAGTACATAAGGCCAGAATAGTTTATTTAGGTTATAGTGTTTTTACATTTCTACAGATTTGACTAAGGTTTAGGAACAACCTTATTGAATAAATTTCCTTCAGGGAAAATCTATTATGAGGCTGCCCTCATGTCTCTTAAATGGAATTTTCTGAGAATTGCATTGCTTGAAACATATTATCTTGCAATAGCGATGTCTAGTGCACATTGTATCATTGAACTATCTGCCTGTTGACTAAAATTATGTAGCTTTCAGATTTTGGGTATCAATATGATTAATAAATATTTTTCCAATATTTTTTTTTCTTGTGATTGCAGAAGCATTTTCAGCGTTGTCATATTTGTAAATCTGGAAAATCTTGCTATCAAGTTTTACAGGTGAGGATAGTTGCAAGTTAAAAATCAAGCATAAGGTGAAATTTATCATAGTTTCTGAGTTATGTTATATGCTCTCTCCCCCCTCCATTACGTGTGCGCCAAATGTTTGATTTTAAATAGTTATGCTTTATGCGGGCATGTGGAATACATATTTTCCAGTTCATAAGTTTGGTTACATTACCAGGAGAGAAGTCTACATGAAGACAAGTTTGGATATATCACATACCTTTGTTATTTGATATATGCACCACTTTATATTGCTGGTCCAATACTGAGCTTCAATGCTTTTGCCTCACAGGTCTGTGACTGTAAGTTATTTTTATGGTTTAAGCTTCAATATTGACTTTCTGGTATTTCTGAAACCTCTATTAAAGTAAGTGAATCTTCATCTTATTATTTTGAAAAATAAATGTATATGCAAGATAATTGTTTGTTTGAATTAGAAATGGAACCAAATTTGTCATCATTGTCTAGAAATTTGATGATATAACTTGATGTCTTCACTAATTTGTTGAGAGGTCTATGAATTGGTTATATATGTATGTAACAAGCTTGGTGCATACAATCCTACGCTCTAATTTCAGGGGGTGTGTTATAATTCATGTTAATAAGGTAATTCTGGGCTAATTATGTTGTTTTCATTATGTAATTACAGAAACTGTGATAGCTGTAAATCCTTGTATTTAAGACTCTTAAATATATAATATTCTCTGCCATGTAATTGAGACACAAAATTCATCGCTTCTCTCATTTTTTTTCTTACTTAACTCTTTGTAAATGTTTCCTGTGTTGCTGATTGTTGTCAAGTGTTTTTGGATGGTTGATTGAGTTTCTGTTTTGTTGATGATATTGTCTCTAATTATTTGCAGCTAGATGTTCCTCCAAATACTAATTCAGTTCGAAATGTGACACTCAGTGGTTTCCGTTGGGTATTGAGTCTTCTCCTTATGGAATTAATGACACATCTATTCTACTATAATGCCTTTGCTAATAGGTGAGGACTTCAATACTTGGGGAAGAACCATGTGTTATATTTAATTTGTAATCCAAATTTATTGTTTGGTAGCTGAAATGATTTTTTAATCAATTAGTGGTTTGTGGAAGCACTTATCTCCTATGGACGTGTTCATCATTGGATATGGCGTAAGAGAATACATGTTCATCAATTAAGTGGTTTTACTGAGCCTAACAACATCAACTGATCATGTAGCCAACTCCACCTAATGGGATAAGGCTTAGTGATAGTTGTTAATATATCATGAAAACTAATTTTCCAAATTAGATCAGCACATTACTTTGTCATTTTTTTTTTTCGGGTGTTTCAGGTCTTAAACTTCATGTGGTTAAAATTTTTACTGATCTGGCGCTTTTTCTGTTTCTGGTCAATGGTATGTTACCTGCTCTTTAAGCTTATAGCATAAATGTCCAAATACATATTTGAAGAAAGTCATTACTATGGAATGATGTGTTCTAGATAAATGGAATTGAGGCTCCAGAGAATATGCCAAAATGTATTAATAATTGCCACAACTTGGAAGGCTTTTGGAAAAATTGGCATGCTTCCTTCAACAAGTGGCTTGTGAGGTGCAATTGATTCTTTTTCCTTGATTTTGCACTTTGTTTTCCCGGATAATTACTTAAAATTTTTATTGGGTAGAAATTCAGGTATATGTACATTCCTCTTGGGGGATCTCGGAAAAAGCTACTAAATGTATGGGTCATATTCACATTTGTTGCGATCTGGCACGATTTAGAGTGGTATGTTCCTGTTGTTGGTCAACTTCAATCTATTCTGTTTGTAAAAGTTGTGCAGCTTTTTGTCAGATATTAATGCTTAATTGTTGATGGACCTTAGGAAGCTTCTTTCATGGGCATGGTTGACCTGTTTATTCTTCATCCCTGAGTTGGTTTTAAAATCAGCAGCAAAAGCATTTCAGGTAATGCTTATTCACACATTTCTTTCTAAATTTTTTATTAATCTGAAATTGTGATTCTTGCTGTCTAACATGGAGGAAAATTTGATTATCAGGTTCAAAGTTCTTTTGGAGGATGCATATTTCGAGAACTAAGTGCTGTTGCTGGTGCAGTCACAATTACTTGCCTCATGGTTTGTCCTTGAATGCTTTCTCTGCATTTATGTCGGAATATTATAATGCTGTAGTTATTCTATATTTTTGTGATATGCTCATCAATTTGTGGCCTTTGGCTATATGAGAATTCAAAAGAATGGTGCTTCAAGGGGGCCAGTTCATGGTGCAACAAGTAATCCTATTAAACCAGTCAAAAGCCTTTTTTATTATGCAACAAATTTCATGTTCAAGTTTATGCTTAAATTTAACTGGAGCCAATTGTACTCAAAACTTACTTTTTTAATACCAGTCAAATTGAACCTGAGTCTGACAAAAATCTATATCTGATTGCAACTGCTATATTGAAATATTATATATATTGTTTTTAAAGTGAGGATAAAATTTATTTCCCAGGTCCAGCTTGTTGCACTTTACACTCAGCCATATCAAGGACAGCATTTGCCATTTAGATAGTTAATGAGAAATTAATGCATATAATTTATGCTATTAAAACTTCTTGATAGATAATCTAGAATTTTGTAACACAAACATTCTGATTATTGTTTTCCTTAAAATTTTAGAAAATGGAGATTTTTGCCTGAATGTTAGAACTGGACCAGAAAATAGGGAAAAATAAAACGATTGTAAAAACTGAAGTTTGCTGAATTGAAGTCATCAGAATCCAAATACAGAAACGTATATCTCACTGTCCAGGGAGATTTGACAGTTCTGGCTCTCTGCTGAGTCTAAAACCTCTCCTATACTATTTCCTTCCTATTCTTTATGTGCCCTGTCCATTCTTCTAACTAACTGACTGACAATACAGTTGTCAATAGAACTGTAATTGAGTCTGTTCTAATTATTTGAGCTAAGTATCTCACAAAGTCATCCCTAAAAGGGTTTAGTTTAGACGTTGACTTAATTACCATTCTTTGTCGGCTTTTTTCCTTTCTTGAGTGGGTTATTATTTCTGATTTGAATATCTTGACATATCTGGACAGGTGGCTAATCTGGTTGGTTTTGTAATTGGGCCAAAAGGCATCAACTGGTTGCTTTCCTCTTTCCTTCAGAAGGAAGGTACGTCACGATCCTAGCCTTTTAATTTAATTGCAGTCAAATACATTGTGAAATTCATTCAGAAATTCCATTACACAGGGTTGCCTGTCCTTGGTGGCATGTTCATGACATTTTACGTTGGAACAAAGGTGTGAGATTTTTAGCATTTATATTTTCCATCCTTGGAATTGTTTTCTCTCCCCCTCCCCCGTGCCTTTTTCCATTTTTGTTTAATGATCTTGATGGGACCCAAAATAGCAATGAAGGCCTCTGGAATACAAGCCCTACAAGGCCCACTGTGTGGCGGGTTTACTCCCCTAAAAAGAAAGCCAATAATCAATAATTAGGAAGTCTGTTATTATTATTATTCTGTTATTAGGATGCTGTTTTGAATTTGAATAAGTCAATTAAGATATTCTGTTATTAGATTAGGATAGTTTCATTGTTCTTTATTTAAATTGTTAGTTTGAGGAATGGAGGGGGTTCTTCGGCTAGACTTAGGAGAGGAGAATAACATTCTCTGAGAGGAGATTTGACTCTGGGGGATTATTGTAATCTTAGTTCCTATCATAATCAATAAAATATCTTTTCCTTTTTCTTCAATTACTTGAGCTTAGATTTTGGACCCTAACAATTGGTCCGACCTGCCGGATCACCTTCCCATGCACACGAGATCAGTGGAGAGGATGAAGGCATTAAAGGCAAGAATTCAGAGCATGGAGACAGTCTTTGCAGACTATTGAGCGCTGATGAGAGAAGAGATGAAAGAAAGAGATGCGAAGTTCTTGAAGGAGATACAAAGGTTATTCCAAACTAGAAACGAGGAGGGTCCGAATCTGAATTTGCATCCTCCCAGAACTGTACCCAATGACGGAGACGATTAACGAGCTTCAATCAAGAAGGTAGAATTGCCTCAATTTAACGGGGTTGACCCTGTTGGATGGATTTGCAGGGCTGCCCATGGCACTTTAGAGGAGATGAAAATCCACCTCTCAAAGTTGAGCATGGGTGGTAATACTATCCATTGGTTTAATATATGGCGTGATGAAAAAGACAATGCAACGTGAGAGGGCTTGAAGAGGTCAATGGTAACAAGATTTGGGGTCGGGAGGCTGGACAATCCCATTGAAGAGTTGGCTGTGGTTAAGCAAACCGGTTCGGTTGAGGAATACATAGCAGCCTTCAAAATCCTTACGTCGCAGGTGTCATCATCATTATCAGATGCTCATATTTTAGGCTTCTTTATGAATGGTCTCTGGCCAAAAATCCGGAGAAAGGTGCGGTTGCTGTCCCCAACCTCCCGAACAGCCGTGATACACATTGCCCGCTGGGTGGAGGAAGATCTAGTCGCTGATGGAAGGTTAGAAGCACCAAAAGCAAAGAACAGGGGCTATTAATAGGATTGAAGTATCACACCCTTCGTCTGCGACAACATCAAGGTTGTAGAGAATTTGCGGGCAGGAAACTCAATGGCAGGGCCCTTGGGTTCTTTGGGAGGCCCAAATTCAAAAGAAAATTTTATGCGCGGTTCCCAAACAAACGGGGGGCGATCTCGTGGTGTAAGACACCTTCCTTTAGAGGAGTTGATGAATCATAAAAACAAAAGGCTTTGTTTCTGCTGTGGAGAGAAATTTGGCCCTCGCCATCAATGCCCTGACTTATCATTCTTCATTTGGGACCACTCCTTTTGAAATAGTATATGGGAGAAAGCCTCCTGTGGTCCCTAGGTTGATTGAGGGCAAGGTGTGGGTTGAGACGCTGGCACGTGATCTGCGGGACCAGGATGAGGCCCTGCACCAATTGCGCTTCCATTTAGAGCGAGCCCAGCAGCATATGAAGCGATTTGCAGATCGACATTGGAGGAAGATAGAGCTGGAAGTTGGGGATTGGGTTTTCCTCAAGTTGAGACCCCATCGGTAACAATTTATGATCTGCAGGATCAATCAAAAGCTATCTGCTAAGTATTTTTGACCCTTTCAGATTTTGCAGCGTGTAGGGAAGGTATCCTACAAGCTTTCTCTTCCAGCCTCTTCAAAGGTCCATCCGATTTTTTATATCTCTTAGCTCAAGAAGGCTATCGAACAAAAGGTTGCATATACCACCTTACCGGAGGAGCTAATCATAGATGAAATTGTAGAATTGAAAGTTGTTCTAGCTACTCGAAATGTTGCCCTTGGTCGGCAAAAACAGGTATTGATACAATAGAAGGGGTCCATTACAGAGGAAGCTACGTGGGAAGAAGCATTGGTCATCAAAAGTCAATTTCCTTCGTTCACTCTTGACAAGAGTGGAAGTTCAGGGGGTGGTATTGATGGAACCTAAAACAGCAATGAAGGCCTTTGGAATACAAGCCCTACAAGGCCCACTGTGTAGCAGGTTTACTCACGTAGGAAGAACGCCAATAATCAATAATTAAGAAATCTGTTATTATTATTCTGTTATTAAAATGCTGTTTTGAATTTGAATAAATCAGTTAAGATATTTTGTTATTAGATTAAGTTAGTTTTATTATTCTTTATTTAAATTGTTAGTTTGAGGAATGGAAGAGAGTTTTTTGACTAGACTTAGGAGAGGAGAATAACGTTCTTTGAGAGGAGCTTTGGTTCTAAAGGATTATTGTAATCATAATTCTTATCAATAATCACTAAAATATCTTTTCCTTTTTCTTCAATTACCTAAGCTTAGATTTTGGACCTAACAGATCTTCAACCTGGTTATTTGCAGATTATGTTCCACATAGATGAAGCAAAGCAAAGGTCACCCTGAACTGGGACAAATACTTTCAACCATAATACTTGATGCAAATGCGCAAAGTCATGTTAATGCTAGGAGTTTCAAATCCGATACCGAGCAATGTGCTTGACTTGGAGGTATCAATGGGTGCGGCATTTTTTGACAGATTTTCTGATGCATTGTAGATCAAATTGATGAGACCCAGGCCTTAAAATTTCTTACACCGTCTAGTGTAACATAAGACTAGGAAAAATGAAAAAGTGAATCTGTTGAAACAGTGTAGGTTTACATGATCAAACTCCCCTAACCCCTATCTTTTGTGTGGCAAAAAAAAAGGGCTCAAACCTTGAAGTCAACGTCTTATTTCAGCATTTTTTGGCTTTTTTATTCTCGTATGTTGTTTTAAGGTTTTATCTGAGATACAGTTTTTTCTCGAGAGCTTCAATCTTATACAATGCTTTTTTCCTCCGTCGTTTTGGCCTTTTGGTTTAAGCCATTTCGATTATCTTTGGTTTTGGCCTGTGGTTGCAGTTACCGTCTCCTTGATAGTTATTATAGATGTGCGTGATAGCCCTTCTAAGCTTTTTTTACTTCGTAATAAGATTTGAATGAAACATAATAATTATATCAACGAAAAACCTTTTCGGAAGGGGTGGGGGAGGACAAGTTGAGCACCGTGTGTATAACGAATCAAATATTTAACCTTAACGGCATATTGAGTAGGAAAACTAGGAGACAGGTAGCGTACACTACTGCAGGAACTTAATATTCTCTTTTTTAATAAATCACGTCTGAACATGATGTTCCGTCAGCCAAAGATAGCACAGAATGGCAGACGTGTTTTACATTTCAATAAAAATCACATAAAAACAACAAATTACGTCAGCCAAAAATACGATTGAGAGTTGCAGCCAATCGAACTCCTCCTTGAGCTAATCGCAAACTGACTACTGGCAAACGTGATAGGAAGTAATCATCTGCAGAGCATTGTTTAATGTCAGGATACTGTGATAAAAGCTAACTTTAACTTGGCCAATTTTTTATAGCTTACCTTCTAGCACTGAACCATCAGTGACTCCTTTATATGCCCATTTACAGGCGGCTTTAATGCCTTCAGATGCATATCTGAAAAAGTCACCCAAGATTGTTAAACAAGTAGATTTCAATAACATAGGTTGATCAACTAAAGAAGCTTGCTCTACGATTTTTCAAGCTACAGATTTTTGGGTTTTAATCAATATTCCCACTCAGGGCCACCAGATGGAATAAGAATTCTATTTGTATTTGCAAGAGAAATTTTTTGGTACCCGTGTTAATAAATGAGGTATAAAAATCAAAATACAAATTAAATGTGTTGCCATCGGAAAACATATTTAAGTGCTAATGGGAGGACATACATATTTGGGCAGGTGGTTTGATTAGAACTGCAGGTTTCCCATCCTTTTACTTCATCGGACCATGTTTTCTGTGTTAGAAAATTCGAAGTAAGCAAACTTTGATATGCAGTTCCTTAGACTGAGAACAACAGAAAGTTACTGCATAAAATACCGTAATATTCTCTTGAATGGCACTGGTGAAGTCGCCTATGTTAGAGTCATAGAATCTTTCTTCTGCTGTCTCGATTATATTGACATCCCAAACCTGTGTGGGATAAAATTAGTCATTACGGTCGATCGTGAAATAGATCATACAGTAATAGAGGATGAAGCAGAGAATTAGACTCACATGGTGAAGATTTTGCTTCTTTTTGTACCAGTGAACATTAATTAAATTGGCTCCCTTGTCTGAGGTAAAGCCCACATGTAGAGGCTGCAGATTAACCATGTAAAAAAAAAACATTGCAATAACTCAATTATTAATTCAGCTATAACTTTGTGTATAAGGGAATTTGGAGCTTTATCATGCATACCTGATGGACATCTCCCATAAAATGAGAAAGGAATAGTAGAGCTTGGGTGAGGTTATCTGATATTATGATTTCACCATATTGAACAAGATTGTCAGTCAAAAAATGAAACAAGATATAATAAAATTATTGGGGTACATGTGGAGTTTGTAAGCTCATAACAACGGCTTTACATTGAGTGTCTTTGCCATAGTCAAGAAGCTGTTCAGTGTAATTGTTAATCGCTCCCACAACACATCTTCCCTTCACTCCATTCTGATCCTTGCAATCCCCTGAATGTTCACACAACTGATCAGTACAACAAATCATCCTCTAAAAAGTCACTGGATTTCTAATTCATAAATTTTTTATAAACCCAAACCCAAAAATCAAACTGATTTTGAGATACTGTACTATCAGAAACTGATAAAATTTCAAAACTATGCAAATCATGTGTGGTGGTTTATGACATAAAAATAAAATATAGCAGAAACTAATAAATTACGTTTCACACACACACATAGAAAAACCAAAATCCTAAGGAGCATTCATTACATTCGGAGTAGAAAACATGAGAAAGGGACATACTGCTGTACTGGTAATTGCAAAGGTTGTCAGGTGTATCAGCAAAGTGTAATGGTGCTGACCATTGCAAATAGAACCTGACGCGATCAGCCCATGAACACACACTCCCCAAATCGTTTTGTGCATATTCTGGCAGAAGTTTTTTCACAGCCTCTGCAGCTGTATTGCTGAGCCGAGACTGTTCATTCAAAGAGGAAAGTAATGTGATGTTATGCTGCTACTTACCACATACATTAAAATACACAAACTCAGAGAAAATGGAAGAAAAAACAAGTAATTGATCACCTGAGCAATCCTGCAAACTATGGCATGCCCATCTTCTCCCCAACCTCGGGTGTTTGCAAACAAAAGCATGAATGACACTACAGAAACTATCTGGATTTTGTAATACTCCATCTTTCTCTTTCACTAAACTCTGCAGAATATTAGCTTGATCTGCACTTGTGTGTGTGTGTGTGTGTGTGTGTGTGAATGAGAGAATTAGAAGGATATTAATTATTGGCAAACACTGTTTTAAAGATATTGGTCAAAGAGTAAAAAATAAAATCTTTTTATTAAAAAAAATTAATAATGCTTTCCTTTTATTTAATAAAAAATATTTATTAATTTTTATCACTATCCTCGAATCATTAATTAACAGGACTTGCCCTTAGTGATAAGCCTACAGGGTGGGTTTGTCTTTTGTGGCGTGAACACTAAATAAAGTGAACTTTGTTTTGCTCAAGTCAACTTTCGAGTGATATTTACGGTTCAAATATGATGAAAAGCTTGGCAGATATTTTGTTTGGATGTAAAAAAATTTTCTCATTTATTTTTTTTAACAATAAAATAAGGCAAATATGTTTTTTAATATTTTCCTACGATTTGTTTTGTAAACCAAAAAAAGTGTAAAAAATATATATGATTTTTATATTTTACACGATTTTCGTTCGGACAGAAAATTGCCTAGTGACCAAGTAATCTTAAGTTTTATGTTGACCTTATTTATGATGACCAAAGTCTAAATGATTTTTATATTTTAACATTTTTTTGCTAATCACAGGAATATCTAAATGATTTTTATATTTTAACATTTTTTTGCTGATCACAGGAATATTGATTTGGAGTTATAAGTTACCTAAATCTTTGAGCACAATCTAAGGAATGAATTAAATCGGATTGTACATAAGTGGTGTTAGCAAATAGGGTAAAAGTTGGCTAAAATGTCAAATCGATATGTAGTTTTTTTAAAATCAGGACATTATCATAAATATTAATGTTTTTATTGTATTGATGATCTTTTAACTATTGCCAAAAGGTAATGTTATGAAAAATATAAGCTTCCCCTAAAAAAAAACTTCTAAAATTGTTGAATTCTTGTATGTTAAAGAATTTTATTTAAACAATTAAGATATAAAATAATTTGTAATTAAAATAATTTTAATATACCATTATATATTTAATTGGAATATTCTATTTTAAGAGTTACTGAATCTCTTAATTGATTTTTCATTAAAGAAACATACCATTTTTAACTTTTTTTCTTTTAAATTTAAATGCTTTTGAATTGATATATATCCTTTATAGGTTTAGATTTTTTTTTCTCTTTTAAGATATATTTCTTTTAGATTTAATTTTGATGATTTAATATCATAAAAAATGATATTTTGCAATAGTAAGAGAGTAAAAACGAAAAGGAATGTTCAGGAATTTTTTATATAAGAACAAAGGAATGATTTCAAAAGAAAAAAAAAGAATTTATATTGTAACTAATACATAATTTTATTTCAATAAAATAAATTTTAATAATTTATTTACCTTGGCAAACACATTCATTTTTTTGTTTTTGTTAAAACTCTATAGTCTACATAAATCGTAAATTTAGCCGGCCAAATCTGTTAACAAGACTTCAGAAACTTAATCCACTCCGTACGCACTGTTCCCCCCCTCTCCCAAAAAAAAAAAGGTGCTATCATTTGAATTATCATTGTGCAACAATCTCTGTTCCTTCACCTTGCAAAAACTGCTAGAAGATGATAGCATTGCGTACAGAGTGAAAGATAAGCAACTACAAGTGTTTTGTGTTTTGTATTTTGCAGCTTGCATCAACTTCCAAACTTTGGGGCTTTTTTCATACACAAAGCTCAAGTATTATTTAAATCATTAATTAATTGATATATTGATTTTTATTTCATGTGTATATATAAACGTCCGTATAATATACAAATTAAACAATTATTTTATATTAAAAAATTGGAACTCTGACATCTTACGTACTTACATAAATGAACTTGAAGTAAGAAAATTATAACTTGTTTCTCTAGTTATAAGAATAAAGATATTGTAACAAGAGGCCAGGTTTACCCAATTGGAGTCTTTGCTTTTTTTTATATGCATTTGTTTTTTTCAACTATTTGTAGCCATGTAACTGCTATCTTTCTTTTTTGCTTTTGGTAAGACTGCTATTTATCGAGTTAGTGATTTTGTATTTATTCTTTGTCTTTGGGGGAGGAGCATTGAGAATTTGAGATTGAAAAAGAGAATATGAGAATTTGTTAGATTCAAAATTCCAAGTCTAGTGGCCTAATTTCGGTAAATTTTTGGAAAGTTTTTACATAATATGAAAAAATAAAATAAAGCTTCTCTTGTAAATTAGAATAAAAAATATTTAATTTATATATATATATATATATAAACTTCTTTAAAAGGTTATTCAAACTGGGTCAGGGTTTATGTTTAGGTTAACTCTACTGTACGATCACTGCAAGAAGGAGTTAGGATTATGTATCTGGATCAAGTTAGATCATCAACCTAAGATGTTGACATGTAGAAATACAGGCTGGCCCAAAGGCCTGTTTGAGGTATAGAACTAACAAGATAATGGGCTTGCCTGTATCGAACAAATGAACTCAACTCATCATTTTAGTGCAGACCCAAATAAACTTTGAGCTCTGCGATTGCGTTGACCAAAATAAAAAAGGTGTTGGCTTTGAATAGGTGACAAATGAAGAATGTGCTCGGTAAGGAATGTTTACAAGATTGTAAACTCGTCAGAGAACCAACGAAACTGTGTTTTATGCAAGATTTGTACGGATCAAAGGGGTGTCTAAGAAGGTTTATGCCTTTTTGTAGAGACTGATGCAAAATAAAATTCCTACTAAGTTGAACTCGAGTAAAAGAGGTATTTTCCATGATGACATGCAAACAGTTGTTATGTGAACAGTATGGCAAGAATATAGAAGATACTCAACATTTATTTTTGTGCTGTTATGTTACTTCTAAAGCATGGTATGAAAGTTGTGGCTGGTGGAGTATGAGTGTAGTGTTACTGAGATGAGTTCATCATGACCTGTTTTGTATAATAAGGATATGTTTGGAGAAAGAAAGTTGAGAACGGTTTGGGTTTTAGTTTTCTTTGCATTCATATGGGAAGTATGGTTGCTTCAGTTAGAAAAAGGAAGTATGGAAAATGCAAAACTGAGAAGATAAAGTTTTTAAACTGGTGCTTGGATCCAGTTACATGTCAAATACTTTGCGCATGGTTATATTGATATTTAAAGTAAATTTTTTATTACCATTGTTATGATTATACTTATTTAAAACAGTATATGACTTACCATATTGAAAAATTTTTACTATTAAAGGAAAGCATTTATATAATGAATCAATCAAACAAAAAAGGGCAAAAATAAAAGTAAATGATATCAAATAAAATATGCATTATTAAAATTAAGTATATTTTCATATTCTAAAATCAATATTAGTATTAACTAACAATTTATAAATCTCCTGTATAATGCATTAGATTGATAAAAACATAATAAAATAAAAAAATATTGCAAACAACTAATTAATAAATAGTTTACTAATAAAATATATTTAATATTTTAAAATTTTAAATTCTTAAAGATTATTCTAATTAATTTTTTGTCAAAATATAATTAAAAAATTCTTATGTTTAATGTTGATTAAAAAAATTAAAGTATTGATTAATAAAATAATAAAAAATTATTTAAATAACTAAAAAATTAAAGTAATATTAATTTGATTCTCTGTAGAGGCGAATGACATATGTCACAGTACGAGAAATAACAAATACACGTGATTTATTAAAAAATAATAATATGACTTCGTAAAAATCAATATTCAGGCCTCAAATTTAATATACACGTGTGAATGAGAGTGGTTACTATATGTAATGTGAAGAGAAATATTAATAATATATTATTTAATATAATTTTTAAGATATATTTTTATTATTAAACATATTTTATTAAAAATATATAAAAATATGTGAATATTTTTATTTAATAAATTTATTTATATTTTTATAATTATTAAAAAAATAATGTTAAAAATATACTAAAGTGTGTCTTTTTTAATTGTTAATGGTAGCTCAGCAAAGATTACTCGCATAGAAATATCTATGAAAATAAAAGAGACAGAGCTGGAAAAAATGTTAGCAAATACTTTTAAGACATTAATTAAAAATTAATAATAAATTTTTTTTGTTAATGTCAACTCTTAAGATTAAAAATAAGAAATTAATAATAGTAAAATTTTATTTAAAAAAGTATTTATTATATTTTTATAACTGTAATATAATAATTATATACTTTTTTATTAAAAAAATTATTTATAAATACTTAAACTTAATCTTAAGGATTGAGATTAATAAATTTTTAATATAAAATATTTTATTTATTGATTTCTTAAATGGTATAGCATACTTGTCAAAGAAAAATAGTTTTAACTATATTACTTGTGACAGTCAAAAGTTATCCTTTTGATTACTTTTATGCGGTACTTGGTCAAACAGTCGACGCCATAATATTTTGAGTTTGTCCGCTTATGAAGACAGAAGCTAGCAATGTGTTTCGCAATGCCATCATCAGTTTCGTTTATACAATCCACGAAAACTACCCAAAAAGACTAAATATAAGCCGAAACAGTGCGTATATTTGAAAATTACTTACAAATATCCCATTCATAATCACAAATTGCAATTATTTCACATTCGCAAAACTTCTGGGAAGACAGTGTTTCGTGTCAAAACCCGATAAGGAAATTACCATGAAACACACTTGATCATGTATTACACGTTTTTAATTTTGGTGCAAGAATATCCAAAGTCAGATTTTGAATATGGGAGCATTATGCGCACGAGATAAATGTTTCATGGTAATTTCAGAAGTTAAACATGTCTGTATATCCGCGTATATGGTTGGATGATTCAGATCCACATCCATAACAACATCATATGCAAACAAATATGTTGGAACCTATCCAACAGAGCAACAACTCAATCTCCCAACGCTTTCCTTCTGTGTGACGAATATTCCTTATCCTTTTCTCTCTATACCCTTTTTATTTGCACGTATTTATTCACAACCTCCATCCTTTTACTCACTCCATAATCAATTTTCAAACAAAGAAAACACAAAATGCAAATCCCTCAGATTCACAGCCTCCACCATTATCTGCTGAACCAAAACCCATTGTTTCTCTCTCAGCTTCAATCTTCTTCCTTAGCTTACACTCTCTGCAAATGGGGCGCTCTCACTCTCGCTCTCCTCGCTTCAATTCTTTTCGTCAGATTCCGCCCAAACACCACTGCTATCCCTCTTCTCATCGCCGATTGTGATTACAGCGACACCGACGACGACGACGACGGAATCTCCTCGTCGCCATCGATGTCGTCTTTGTCATCGGAGATTGAAGACAACGAAGAAAAGAAAGAGAAAGAAGAAGATCGAAGGGGTGAGTATTTCCGCCTCAAAGGTTCGAGCAACGACGATGGCGGGTTTCTACGTCGTCGTAGCATTGGTGAGTTCTTGTCGCTTTCAGAAATCGCCAACAGCAAGAACGTCGTTAAGCTATGGGATACCATAGGGTTTGGGTTAGGGTTTGGTTTCGATTATTCCGATTCATCTTCTGACGAAAGCGTCGTGTCGATTTACGGCGTCAACGAGGAGCATGGACTCCAGCCCGTTCCCACCCGGAAGCCGCCGACCCCGGCGGTGGTAGTTTCCGCCGGAGAAAATGCGTCGGGGAATTTGGCACTGAGGGTGTGGGACACGCGCCTACGGCGGCGTATACCGGCGGTGATCGCGGAGTGGGGCCCTAGCGTAGGAAAAATCGTTGGAGTAGAATCCGGAGGAGTTCAGAAGGTTTATGTCAGAGATGACGGCCGTTATGGGTTGACGGTTGGTGACATGAGAAATGTCAGGTCGCCGTTAGAAGATGTAACGGAATCACACATAGATTTGTGGTGGCCTAATTCATTCATGCTCAAAATTTAATGCGAAAAAAGAAGAAAAAAAGACAGGAAATTAGGACTTTGACGTAGTTAATTTGTAAAAAAATTATTTATCTTATTACATTTATTTTTTAAAAAATTTGTAATTGTGAATAATTAAGTGTAATAAATAGACAGTTAGTTTCCTGACGTATGCTGAGGTGTTCGATTCAATTGATGTTAAGGTTAAAATTATTCAATCTCACAGGTTTTAATCGATTATTGTGATTTTTTAAGTTAATAACTAAATACAAATTTATTAATTAGAATATGAACTACATAAATATGTTTCCATTAGGTTTTTTTTACTAACTTTAATATATAAATATTTTATTTAAATAAAATATATAACTCGCATATGTCATTTACAATTAATTAAAACAAGTTTTTTTATATGAGAAAAATATCTATCAAAATATGGTGTTTTAGGAAAAATTATAAAAATATAAAAATTTTTGAAAACTTGCCATTATATTTTTAAATTTTTTATTATATTTTAAAAACTTATCATTGACAATATTTAACTTTTTATATTTTTTAAAAGATGTCATTGACAATTTTAAACTCTATATTTTCATAATTTTTTTAAAAAATTCATATTTTGGTTAATTTTTAAATATCATATATATATAAAACAAACCTTAAAAAATATAAGTTATACATGTGTCATGTATAGTTTATAATTTTAAATTTTAAAAAATAAGTAATATATTATATGTACAACTTATTACTTTATTTTAAAAAAATATTAGTAAAATATGACTTATACGAGTTATTTACGATAGTTATATGAAAAATATATCTCATTACATAAAGAGACACCCCAGTGTGTCTCAATTTATGTGTTAAAATACATTTTGCTTTAAAAAAGAATAAAATAACGGATATACATTAAGCTATATATGGTTTGTATGTGTTCATACTCGATATATATATATATATATATATATATATATATATATATGGATTTGGCCCCTAAGCAACAAACCTCTGTCTAAGTTTCTTAAACTAATTTGTACTTTTTGACGTTTCATAAATCACTAGAATCAACGTTTGACGGCAGTGTTCTCTAATTTGAGATCTACAAATGATATTGACGAAGGGATTTTTTGAGTTCAAAGGTTCCGTAGAATTTGACTTGAATAACAAAACAATCTCCAGTTCACTTATCGGAAGCTTCCTTAATCCGTGCTTAACTGAAGCTTTTTTCATGGCTGATAGTGTTCAATAAATTGGTTTGCTCAGAGAACTAAAACACCTTTCAAGGAGTAAATTTTAAGTTGACGAATTATACAGGACGATCAATAAATTTTCGTGAAGGAACTATTGTATGGGTCTTGCAAACCAATATTAATGCAAAGAACACTTGTTAAAAACTTGAAAATAATTTTTTTTTTATTAAAAATCACGTAAACTTGAAAATATTTTTTTATTAAAAATCACATTAAAAGATTTCTACTATTATTTAATAACAGTAACATTTTTTTATCTCTTATATATTCTTAAAATTTTATATAAATTTAAAAATAATCATATTAAATATTTGAGTTTAAATTTATAAGATATATGATACGTATATTGCCGTATTATAATATTCTAATATTAAAATATTTAATCATTGAATAATAACTTATAAACATATTTTTTGTTTAAAATAAAAATTTATGCATTGTAGTATATTGAAATATTCAAACGGTCAGAGTAACAATATGATCAAGAGATTTCAAAATCTAAATGTTATTGCAATAACACTGAGAGTTAGTTTTAGTTTTACTCAAATGCATTGCCAATAGAGAATGAACAGATAGAAGCACCAATAAGGTAAGATTACACTTAAATAACAGCATGACTGTATAATTAAAGAAATGTTAACAATACATTTTTAACATATATTTATGATTAATCATTTTTTAAAATTAAAATAGTTTGAAAAATAATTAATTTATAAAATAAATAGTTTAAATTTTAAAAAGTAAGCAATTGCAGTAAACATATTAAATAATATATTTTAAAAATTATATTGTTAACATTTCTCTAATAGTTATAGTAGCTAAAACAAGGGCCTTAATGCAATTTCATACTTGTTCCTGCGTCTGCATGGCGTTGCCGAAGCCACAAGATTTCGTACTTTAAATTTCTTCGTCCCAACGAACCACCAGCTAACGCGATCGGTCAACTATTCTCGTCATGCCTCTAAAGTTAATTAACTCCTCTAGTTAGCATCTAACCTCAAAGGCTATTATATTTTTCTTCCCCTTCAACTATTAATGCTATGCAGTAAGTTAATGATTGAATTAATTTTTCTACATGAGTTATAATAATTATATCACTCATCAATGCTAATTTCCTATTACACTATAGCTCATTCTTAGATATCAGAATCAATAATTTAGTGACAGATAACTAGCTATATTTTTAATAACGATGTGGAAAAAGATTATAAACTATGTGGTTGTAAAATCTTTGAGCTATATCATAAATAAAAAAGAAAGAAAGAAAGAAAAGACTCCCAGGTCTACTTAATTAATATGTCACCTTTTGTTTTCAAACCATTCTTTTTTTTATTAATTGATTTGTAATGCGAAAATTACGAGAGAACGAAACATTATATATATATAAGGTGGAGAGAGGTGGGTGGGTGTAGTGAGGCTATATGATCAATTGCAACTGTAAGCAAATGTTTAATATTATTAATTTACTATTTAAAAACTTCAAGTCGTAATAAAAAAAAATGGTATGATATAACCAAGGAGTTGACTTTTGCTTTTGAAGGTCCAGATCTTCCAATGGTGTTGATTAATTATGATAGTTGAAGAAGTAACATCTTGACAAAAATACCAAACCTGACAGTGATCTGAGAATCTTGTAGCATTGTCTTTCGCATTTACTGGAAAAATGCTTCAATCCATAGACCCAATAAAACATTAACAACAAATGAAATGGGAAGGTGATTATCCTACTCGGATGGGAAATCAATAATAATATTGCAGAGAAGAAACAGGATTATTACAAAATACAAATAAAGGCTTTTATGTAATGAAAAAGGAGCATGGAAACAGAATACAAGAGGGAAATCAAATTACAGTAACAAAACCAAACTGCTGAACTTATTCTTCTTATGTCCAGAAAGAATGAATTAAATCTCTTCATAATTCACATTAATTTCATCGTATCCAGTGCCATAGTTGATCAGCTCCGTAACACTAATACAACAAAATTTACAATAAAGAAACATGAAAAATAAATTAACGAGACCAACCTATAATTCATTACAGAAACTGATCTATTATTTGCACCTTGGTGCAACAGCGTTCACCCAAATCAATTGATATCAATATTCAGGCAACTCTTTCATGAATTCCAACCCAGAAGGAGATATCAAAGTTCCCAAAATTCCATATGGGGAATCAGAATATTTATACACTGATCTAGCCGATGAACAAAAGAAATCTGAGGAACTTGGAGTGAACAGTGGCATATCGACAAAATCCAGGTTAGAGGAATTATATTGAACATTCGCACCCCCCTCAATACAAGTCTCATCACCCCTCCTAAGAGCTGAGCTAGTTTCATTACTATTGTTGTTGGATCCATCGGACAAAGATGATCCAAAGTTCTCAGAGGCCTCTTTCACATCATTGGTGCGTGACATGCCAGTGAGTCTTTGAACAAGAGCCATGAAATCTTGAGCCTTGGTGTGTATAACCTTGGGTGATTGAGTGTAAATAATGATGGGTCTCCTCTGCTGCTTGTGAAGTTTGGGGTCAGCAACAACACATGTTGAAGAAACTGAAGACTTGCGTATCAATTGGGAATGATTGTTGATCACCAAAGGGGAGGGACGTGGCCCATTTATCACCTTCTTTGGTTGCTCATGAAAGCCATAGAACTTTGAAGTAGGCCTCATCTTGGAGACAGTTTAACTCACTTTAGCAATGTGAAAGACGTAAATGAAATTGTTTGATAAAAAACTGGAAAATGCTAAGTTGGTTAATAGGGAAAGAAATAGAAAGGGGATATATATACACTGAGATTGAGATGAAGAAATCTTATTAGCCAACAACTCTGACCGTTGACTCTTGAGCTACAGTTTTTAATTGCCAATAGGCAATATAGATATTCATTTTATCTAATAGCTATTGAGTTGTGTTTTTTGATTTGACTGTGGGAGTTTGAACCAAAATTAAGTTAAATATCTAAGATTTTATTTATTTTTTTACCTAATTAAAATGACTAGTAGCTTGAGAAAAAAAAAAAAACTGACCGAAGACACGTAGGGCACAAGAAAAATTGCTGATTTCAATCAAAGGAAAAAATGTTGGAGAGGATTATTATTAATCCTAGTTGGTTTTTTTTTTGTTTCCATTTGCTTGTATGTAGTTGCATCTTTGGCTTCCGCGGTTGTAGCACCTCTTCAGCCGCCCCGTAGATGGCGCAGAACTTTTCATCTCCCTCTTCAATCTCGTTTCTGCCTCTAAAACTACATATAATATAGATTCCGTTTGTAAATTGTTTATTTATATACAATTTTATTTGTATTGCTTTCTTTTATATGTCATGAGTTGAATATAAGATCTCTGTTACTGTTCTATCTTATTCTATTACTCTTGCTATGGATAGCGTAAGTTTGAATTTTAGAAACCTCAAACTATCCATCCCATTTTGAAAAGTACTTAATTAATAGGTAGCTTTGCATGATGCAGAATGTCTTGGAAGTCAAGATTTGTGTCAGTATTGCCATTTTCTTTGTTGAAAACTTAGCAGTCGTGTTTATAAAAGGTTGCTTAAAAGAAGTTTATAAAAGGTTGCAAATGGATTACAATGAATTTAATGAATTTCTTTATTGAAAATACAGCTGACATGTTACATAGGTTAAATCTAGTTTACTATTTTATTAACCTTCAAATTATATCAATTTGCTTCGACCAGGAAATGATGGCAGATTTTTCTATAATTGTTTTCACACCTAATTATCTTTTTTTAAAATATAAAATATAATTGATTTGCTTAATATGCTTTATACCCATTCCTAATTTGAATTGCAAGACTTTTATGTTGAACTTTTAATGAAGTTTTCATAAAAATATCACCTATAATTGTGAGTTTAATCATCATGAGCAATATTTTGTTGAACTCAAAATTATGTGTAAGGCTTATCGAGTTAATCAACACATTTTATCTATATCTATAGCTCATCATAGCCTAATGAAAGTAATAAAAAAAAAAAACGAAAGAGATTAATTATTCGGTTTCAGTATCCTTATATCAATTAAGAATATGACTAAAATAACTTTTATAAAGTTTAAATATTTTTTATAATTAATTTTCATGATAAAATTAGGTCTATTATGTTTTTAATATACAATATTAAAGTTTATATCCAATTTAAAAATTGAACCATCCACAAATTAAATTTTTAAAGTAAGAAAATTCGTATAGTTGAAGTATAAGGTTTTAAACAACTATAACAAAAGAAAAAAAAATTGGACTTATTTACTTTGAGAAAATATTTTTTATTTTAATAAATAATTACAATAATTTTACTTTATTTTTTTAAAGTTTTGTATAGAATAAAAAAATTAAGTGAATCTGACTATTAAATATCTAAGGTATATATATATATATAGTTATAGTCAAAAGATTATCGTCATAGCAAACTGAATTAAATAGGGTCTAACATGCCATCTGTAGCCGCAAGCAGCTACCAAACGAAACAACAAAAGATAAAATAGGATTTACAAACCATATCGTGCCTTTAGAATGCAAGGAATATATTTTATACTTTCAAAAGGTGCTGAAGATATATCATGTCAAACACTATTTAAATAATTTTTAAATGCATAATTTTATTTTTTATTTTTTACATTAATATAAATGATATATTATAATAATTAGATAAATAACAATATTTTATAACATAATTAGTGAAAAACGTTAATTTATTAAAGAAATATATTTATTTGAGTTAACAATGATACTTTAGTATTATTATAGTAAATTTATATCTTATATCAATGTAGTGTTGTATCTTGCTTCTTAAGCTTTGATCCCAACCTGTGTGGAGCAATTTTTGTCCCTCGATGGTTCAACCTTGTACTCAAAGTTTAGAACTGCATATATATTAATTAAAAAATGAATAATGTGACATGTATTCAGTCATTGTCATGAAAGTCAGTTTCATTGACTTTCTATTTTTATTATATTTCCTCAACTTTGTAGTTGTAGATTATGACATATAAATTTAAAGGATTGTCGGCGTCAATAATTGACAAAAGTTGATTTCTATATGAAAATTATATTTAAATGTATTTTTAATAAATTTGGAAAAAAATTAATTAAATTACTATTCTTTGGAAAATATTATTTTTCAAATGAAAATTTTAAATTTATTTTTCTTAAAAACATAATCTAGCAAATTAATATATGAAAGAAGAAAGAGATTAAAATATAGCAAGAAGTAGAAAATGTTGGAAGAAGCTGTGGGTTTGATGGCTCAGCTGGCGCGTTTACAAATTGCAGTTTCCTTGTTTGCAACTAAGATACATCCATTAACTTTCAGCATAACCTTGCAGGTCCAGGTAAACATAAAAAAATAAAAATAGTGACATGTTAAAAATAAAAAGAAATTTTTTATTATGGAATAAATAAAAGAAAGGAGTATTTAACGATTTAAATTTTTTATCTTAAAAAATTAGCTGTCTCAATTAATTTAAAAAATATTTTATATATATATATATATATATATATATATATATATATATATATATTTTAAGAGTATGCTTGAATACAGACAACAAGTAAAAAAAATAGGAAAAGTCAGGTGTTTAAAGGAGGAGAAGGAAGATATTTTTGTTATCCTAATTAAAATAAAACCTCTCAAAATAAAAGAAATTGGGGGAGAGAAATATGTCAATTGTGATTTTTTTTATTAAATAATATAAAATTTTAAAATAGATTAAAATATATATGACAATAAAAAAAATCACTTTTAGTTTAAATTTATTTTTTTAATTATTTTTATAAATAATTTTATAATAAATAAAAAATAATTCATTAAGATTAATAAAAATTATTTATATGTTATAAATTTATAAAGTATTTTTAATAAAACTATGAAACTTATAAATTATTTATTAAATTAACTAATATATAAATTATTTGTAAATACAAATTTAATAATAAATAAAGGTATAAAAGTATTAATAAATTTTTTATAAATGTAATTGAAGGATGTATAATATTAAAGTAGTCATTGTTTTGCATGAAAATGTGCCATAAGAATCCCATGAGGCTCATAGAGGTGACGTATTTATTTTTGGGGTTAAAGTCATTAAAAAGTTTACATATTTAATTAGATGGCAAAAAACTTTTGAAACTTTTCTCATTGCATATGTTTATCATTCACAGGGTTGAGAATAATTTCTGACAGCAGAAATGAAATGTTTTATAATTTTTTTTTATTATTGTTTTATGGTTGATTCTGTTCTTGAAGTGAACCTTTCTGAACTCTTGTCTATGATGATAACTTTTACTTGATAGTTTGTTGGGCTGTGGTTTCAAAACTCATCTATAAACTTGTTGGGCTGGCCCGTAATACCACTTTAATAAAAAAAATATGAGTGATAAGGTTTTAATAAAAAAAAAAACTAATCTTAGTAATAAGGTTTGTTTTCATGGACCAGAGAAAAAACCTTTTTAAGAACATCAACTAAAGATTATTTAAAGTAACTCAAGTGCAAGTCGCACAATACATAAATCATTGTCACGTTACTTATTATAGGTTTAAAATTATCAATGTATAAATAACTTTTGTATATTAAAAATAGAAACCCATAAACTTATCTTTATCTGCACTATATCGATACGAGTATGTAAGTGTTTATTGTTTGAAAAACTCTTTATGATGTTACTGTATCAAATTTAAACCTTAAAAGCCCCAAAGACCAAAGAGTATTGCATTTTAGATTAGAAAAACAACTCAACCTGTAATTTCCTAACTAAACTTTGTTACCACTTGCAAGTTGTGCCTAATTTTTAGAACATTAAACATTTTGTATAATGAATGATTGTCTTTTTAGTGTGTAAAATTTTAAGAGTTTATTTTTACTTGTCTTAAATCTTGACTATCTTATTAACGGGTGATTAATTTAAGTCATTCATACAGTTGGAAGAATTAACTCCATCCTGTTATATATACTTGTAAACTAATTATAAAAAAAAAACATTATTATAATTAAAAGTTAAGTGAATAGATTATATTTTTTGACAAGTTAATTACTATTTAAGAGTTCCTATATACCTAAATTACTCAGTATTTAAATTGCAGGCGTCAAATGTTTTGGCCTTTCAAGAAACCAATAAGTATGTAAAAATAACTTTAAAACTTTAATATTAAGACGTAAAGAAATATTATTTGCTAAAGAATTGTCTCAATTAGCTGTTGGATCAAACTGGATCGAGTAATATATTTTTTAATGCGATTTCTAATAGTAAACATTTATTTGTAAATCATATTTATTTATACTATTTGTATGCCTTTTGCTTAGAGTTATGAGACAATATTTATTTCCACATATGAAAAAAAAATAAAGATTAAAACGTGTAGACTATAATCTAAATCGTAGGAGAGTTTCTTCCCAATTGTTTGCACCTTTCACAAGGAGAATGGATTGGAGAAGGTCACTACAACAAGTTGAGATTGGTCATTACTAGTACATGAAACCTATTTTTCTGGGTCCTATTGCCCATACAGGCCACTAGATCAATTTGATAAGCAATACTAATCAATTCTCTATTTATCTTGGGGTAAAAAGAACCAATTCATTTTAGTGAAAAAGTTTGAAAAAAAAGAAAAGAAATTAAACAAATCAAATACATTAATGGATATATTTAACTTACTACTGTGGC